TACAGGGGGGGAATCCATGTCTTGCACAGGGCAAGCACAGTAAAACAGCGGGGAGGGGGGAAGTGGAACGGTAGTGAGATTCAAATCTTAAGTAGGGGCATCACAGGAGAGAAGTTGTGGGGGATATTCACAGTGTTACAACGGGAAGGAGGGGATATTACTTTACTTGGAGGGTAGGGGCATTACAGGGGTACAACAGGGGGAGGGGAGATTAGAGTCTTGGGTAGAAGCATCACAGTGGTACAGAGGGGAGAGAGATTCATGTCTTGGATAGGGGCATCAAAGTGGTGCAGAGGGGGGAGAGATTCATCTCTTTGGTAGGGCCGCGTCATATTGGTGCAGGGGGGCGAGAGATATTCATTTCTTGGGTAGGGGCATTTTAGTGGTACAGAGGGGTTCGAACTAAATTTGCGTTGTTTAATATTGTTTATGTCCTAATAAACTGTGACCTTGTTTTATATAAGCTTTAAGACTAATATTTATTTAATCTCTGACGACAGAGAAGGTTTCATTTTAAGATTCTTAGGGAGTTTATTTTTTATCTTATTAAGTTATTGCTGTTTTTCATAACATATTTTTTTTTAATCCCCCCCCTCTCGTATAAACTAATTGGATTTTTGTAAACTTACACACGCCATAATAAAGTACATGTATCCCTCATCATAATTCTATGATTCAATAAAACAAAACTTTTAAACATTTCTAACTTATAATCAAATTTTTCACTTTCCCAGAACTCAAATCTTTCAATTCATTCGTTATGATAAGAAAAGCAAATGATATTTCGAAGATAAGTGTCCACGTTCTTAAAAGAATTAAAATTCCAGGTAAAAAAAAATCAATACAACCACATCTGTACATTTCGAATTTCCCATTCATAAAACTCTCAAGTTGTGGGTTTTTAGATCAATCAATACCCCCCCCCCCCTCATTAAACCCCGCACTGCGCCTCTTTATTAAAGATTGAGATGACCGGTTGGTTTAGGAGATGTCCGGTTTGACCCACAGCATGAGAACCCCGACCTTACAACCGGTCCCTGAATCCCTGCCCGCCGATCACGTGTCTGCTGTCAAAAAACCAACAACAAAGGTAGGAATTAACCTCAGTCATTAAAGGGACTGTCTGCGTAATTTAAGGGACCCCCCGTCCAAAGATGGCCCGATTAACACAGAACCAATTGATGAAGTATATCATTTTTAAAACTGATAATTTTCTGTCAGCCAGAAGAAAGATTTGCGCACTTGCAGGAGAACATGAAGGAATTATCAGAATTAAATACGTTAAAACCTAGAAAAACAACAATTAACGTCAAATATACGTTTTAAGGGTACCGTTGTGAATCTGACATTGTCATCTTCACATGGAGGGTCATTTGAAATTACGCTTACAATCCCTTTAAATATTGTTTATTGAAATAAACAGATGCTTTAAAATAGGTTTCCAAGAAAAACAAAACTAGGAAATACCAGGAAATATAAGGAATAAGAAAAAACATTCTTATTTATATTTCTTGGCTTCAAAGTACAAACATCTTTAAAAAAAACCAGATTACTTACTCACTTGAACTTTATTTTCTAAACCATTTGTTTCAAGAAAAATGTGTAATTTTTCAATTTACAGATTTGTCTTCAAAAATATGTAAATCAATATTTAAATTTTGTAATTGAAAAACTTTCTTCTCTCTCATCAGACTTATGTCTGTAAAATTTAAAATCGTATTGCAGTGGATTGGATTTACGCTAAATGTCAATCTTAACTTTTTAATTTTTTAATATTCTATTTTTATAAAAATAAATACAGATTCATAAAAAAATCCGTCTTATAAGATCAACATCTGTCAGGATTGATTGTAAAAGAGCTGCCAAAAAATCAACAAATGATATATTTTAAATGACGTGTAATTTAATAAATGCCGGTTATTGACTTGAACCTTAATGTCAAGTGACCCTCCAAGCAAAGATAGCAATGTACCCTTATAACCTTAATCTGAACAAAAATGTAAAATTGTTTTTCTGACGCGAAAAAAGATCAATTCTGATGATTTTTCCATTTTTTCTTATAACCTACAAATGCGCAAGTCACTGTTTTACTACTGTATCCGTCAAAAAAGCTTTGATTAAGTATGAATCCATGTTTTAGCTTTTGAAAACTGGTTATTTTTATTTGCGTTTTCTATACACAAGTAACTGGCGCATTTCAGAAAGGAGAAATTAACAGAATAAAACACTTTTTCAAGCTTTAAAAAGTCTCAAGGGTACCGTTGTAAATCTGACATGCTTTTTATTTTTTTAAAGGATGGCCACTTAACATTTTAACGACAATCCCTTAAATTACAAAAATCTTAAAATTAATGTGCATGATTTGTCTCAAGAATGAGTTACGTTGTACATTTAAATGTTATATGACTCAAACTGCATTTATTATAATTAGAATATGTGGTAAACAAAATATTTAAATATTAATATACAGCTAGGTATTTCAGTTATTTAAATTTTAACATATATGTTTTTTGTTATTTTTACCATGATGACTATTTTGAGAGGTTTAATGAAATTTAATCCACATTTTTAACGTTGATCTAAAAGTACACTTGACTTGAAGGATATAGAGCCAGGTATCCCAACAAGACGACTGAAACATGAATCCAATTTGGTTCCATCCAGCGACCATTGTTACACAAATTGTCAGTTCCCATATTCGCCGCTTGTACGTAAGATGGCGCTGCATGCCCGAGTTGTTTATTTTTTCTCTTATTGACAGACCCCTATACTTGAGCTCATGGGAGTTAGCCCCGATGACGGTCTGGGCTCTCCAAGATGGGGGGTTTTTTCATATCCTCCCTTATCTTATCTTACTTGACGATACGTACTTGAGAAGTAAATAAACTCTGGAGAAGCCAGACATCCCTGTATTGTACTGCAATCTCAACAATACGAAGAATGATTTAGGTTTCACTTAAAATGTACAGCAGTCCGCGTACAAGGTGGTGTAAAAAGTAGAAAGCCAATTCCAGTTTTTTTTACTTTAACCATATCTGTTACACAAGTGTTGTGTCAAAATAAGTTTAGTTTGAATATTGTACAATGTTTATAAATGATGTTTTATGTTTCAATATTATCCTCGAAGTTGGGGGAGTGGGGGGGGGGGGGGTAGGGGGCCCATGAAAAATAAAACTCCCATATGTGCAACACATTTTTTAGGAAGCATTAAGGCAAAACTAGCTCAAATGAGAAATTTTTGCATTTTTAAATAATTTTCCTAACTGGGCCAGCCATTTTACTGTCTTCTCGCCATTTTATTCCCTGTTGGAGCTGAACCAAGTGTAAGAAAGACGCTATTTTTCATCTTTTTCTAAATTTTTGACAGTCATAAAACGAAAAGATTCTAAAAAATTCTGTCAAATATCGTCAAATATCGTCAAAACCAAGATAAAAGATTTCCAAAAGCTGTAAAAAATTGACAGCGATAACCCGATTTAGCAGAGCATGGTTAAAAAGCCAAAACAATGGTGGTAGAAACCGTAAAAGGCCCATTAGGGAAAATTATTTTTAAATGCTAAAATTTCGTATTTGGGGAGGGTATTTTCTGTAAAAATAGATATCTTATTTCAAACTTAAAAAAAATAACACTCAACAACTGAAAATTAACCTCACTTGCTTTCTCTGAAGGCGCTGTCTAAAAATTCTGGATTTTATTCTTTATGGGAAATAATAAAATTCAGAAAGAAATTTTCGCGAACACTCCCTTTGAAATGTTAAAATGGTTAAAATTTGCACAAACTTTTTGTCAAAGGACTTTTTCTCTAATCATGAAATGTTTAAATTTTTCTTTATCTAACCATGATCAACTGGATCCTTAATAATGGGCTCCTTGGATCCGGAGCAAGGTTCAAGGGGGGAAAATATCAACACAAAAATTCTAAAATAAACAGTTCGTCCTTAAAACACAAATCTTGTAAGTTTTGACAAACGATAAAATTCCCGTCATCTTTTTCAAGTCAGATCAATGTTTAGCATAAGAGTAAGCACACAAAAATGTTTATAAATCGGTATCATTCTTCAAAATATAATACCCCTCCCCAACCAGTTTGTTTAAAATATTACCCTTGTCGATTCTAAATTTGCCACCGTTATTATATTCACAATTGATAACTGCCTATTGTCTTACGGCTGTGTGATTGTTTGCTGCCTGAGGCATGGAAATCATGCACTCGGCAGGAAGTTAGAAACAAACTGTAATTTAAAAATTGAATATCTGGGTCGGATCGGGGTGGAAAAATTGATGTCGTTAGGATAAAGGAGACATTAAAGCGAATCTAAGAAAGTTTTTATTTAAAGTAAATTAGTTGAAGTTTTAAGTCAGAAAAATTTAAGAATGTTAGATTTTTTATTATTCTTAAAATTCTTAAAACACGGTTTGGGTAATTCAGATTTATCATTCGCTGTAAATTCTAAGATTGTAAGGAAATGTAAAGAAAAATGAAAGATAAAAATTAAAAATTCAATGTCTGGGTCAAGAAAGTTTAGATAAAAAAAAACAGATTAGAAAGATTTAAATAATTTTAGATTTTTTTCAATCTTTAAAATTCCTGAAACACTGTTTTTGCAATAACGATTAATAATGTCAGATGTAGTAATTATGAAAGAATGCCAGATTTAAGGGAGTTACAACGGTTCCCGTAAAACCTTAATCTGATATAAAATGTGTTTATTTCTGCGAGTTTCTCTGTTGCTTCTTACAAGCACAAGCAATAAATGCGCGTGTCAATTTTTTAGAGAACCCGCAAATGAAAATGAGCAGTTAAAAGAAACAAAAACATTGATATCTAATTCATACTTGATTAGAGAAAATTGTGTATTGCCATCTAGTGTATGGAGGCTACTATTAACATTTGATAAAGAAAATAAACAATTATCACTGGAAGGGCTTGAAGATTTAGTTTAAAGGGATCCTTCTTCTGTAAAGTGGCAAGTCAGGTTCACAACGGTACCCTCCATACCTTTGCCTGATCAGCATCAAACATCTCAGTTCTCGGACTGTCAATTGATCATCTTTAATCGAGTTTTCTCTTTTAAAGTGACTTGTTGCAAGAGAAAATGAAGAAAATTGCTAGAATTCAACAATGTTCAAGATAAGAAAACTTGACATGTAATTTTACAAATGTAGGATCACTTCTAAAATATGTCTACAGTCCCTTTAGAGATGAAAATATATAATAACGCATTTAAAACAGATAGAAGTAAGATTAGTAGCGATCAAAAGCGCTTTTTATCGCATTAAAACTATACCCCCTTTCATTTTTCGCGAACACTCCCTTTAACTCTAAAAGTTAGGCTAACAATAGAGCTTAACTTCTTGTTATATATAACTTAATAATATTCTTTTACATTTACAAGTTTTTATATTTGTACTGTTATCATGTAATGTAAACATGTTCACCGCAGTCTTATGTTATTATACCCCCCTGTATCTAGGACAGTATAATACCCCTGTATATTAAGGCAGGTAGCTTGTATGGTAGTAGTACTGCTTGAATTGCCTGTCTGTCCTAAGCGCTTGTGAAAGTTTTAAGGTGTGGCGTCAAATCACTCAGTAAACTAAACCATAGTGTAATACACTCAACACAGTAAATAATAGAACTTATTGAAATCATCTCAGATAATATTTATAAACATCCGGACTCCGTAATTAACAGTTAGAATATCTACCACTTGTCAAAAACATAGTATACGCATTTTATATATATATATAGATATATGTATTGTATAGTTTATACGCAAAAGTAGAATGTCAGGAATAAAGGAATATATTGATTCGTTGTTTCTGTACCAAAGTTAAAAGTTGAAAAAATAATTATTTTTAGACTCAGTAAATTGAACTATAAATCTGTTTCATTCTATGTTTGCTAGAAGGCTGATAAGATTTATATTTTTAATATTTGTTCTTGTGACTAAAACGAAGCTTGAGTCAAAATCCATGAAAATAGATTTCAAAGTTACAATTTCAATTTTTAATAAATGTTATGAAATTAAGAGAGAGTAGAAGAATTTTCGGAATAATATTATTCATGAACATTTCTAATAAGCCTCTGCACTCTGCAGTACACTAATATATTTATTACAATATTATCTAGTTAGATGGAGGGGGA